CTTAAATTTATGGTGAAATGGTAGTCGAAAGTGAGGATTGTTATATTTTTTAGAAAATTGATGTATCGTCGGTTTTAAAAATGTTTGCAACAAATATTTTGTGGATAATTTGTAATATATATGGTGTTATATATTTTAGGCTATTTTTGGATCATTTATTTGGTATTGAAGTGGATAGCGAATATTGATGCAATGATAAATGTTTGTTAGAATATTAGTGCAATGAATATAATGAAATAATAAAAATTGATTAAGATATTAGAATAATTAATGTTTGTGGAAGTATTAAAATAATAAATACAATGCGATAACAATCTTTTAATATCAGAAAAAGAAAGATATATAGATAATATAATATCCCTTTTGGGCTATTTCAAAACATCAAATTAAATTTAACTATAACGTTAATTGTGAAACAGTAAGTCTCACAATCAGCTAGGACCATTCGATCTTCTAAGTCTTTTAACTCTAAACAGAAATCAACAAACAATTCTACTCTATATAATGCTTTTAATGTATTATAAATATAGTTGGTAATGTCTTCATAAGTAGATGGAACATAAATAAATAATAAAAGAAAACAAAGAAAAATAATAAAATAGAATAATAATAAAATAATAATAATAATAATAGTAGGAAGAAAAAGAAGAAGAAGAAATAACAATAATAAAAGAAAACAAATTTATAAAAATGTTGAATCGGAATAAGGAATATAAATTTTATAAATTTATAAATTTTATTCGAGTTTAACAAGCACTTTAGAATGTCAATGATACTTATCGCTAATTTAGTATTATTACCAAGTGTCAAAATACAAATATTTCTATCAAATAATACCTGCAGCTGCATGGAAAATATCATTACCGTAGCTACGAAGATAGTAACAATTTTCTAACCAATAAAATTACATATTATACTACGTCAACTATAATTTTCTAAGCATTGAAATCAATTTATTAATACACGTCGAAGATTTTCTCATACGATAAGAATATTCTCAGAAAGCTTAGATCAAATCACAAAGAAACGAAGAATTGCAATTAATGGAGTTATAAAAATATCGAATAAAGGAGGCAAAATCAGATATTAATCCTTTGCACTCGAGAGGTACCATTTAATCGCCATTTAATCAAATTTCGAAGCTGGATATTCATTAACACCTCAAGTTTCAGATTATGCAACGATGTGAAAAAATGTGTATCGAAATCAAATAATTCTATGTGTATATTAACATACGATTTCTTATTCACTGCTCAGAAAAATATCGTCAGCTTTGTAACAGAAAATCTTTGAAATCCTATTCTTCTTTAGCTAAAAAATCGTCGTCGAATATTAGCAAAGATGTAAAGCAGAGACTGGGCTTATAATAATGGCAAAATTAACCTAAATTGATGGTAATGAAAATGTTCAATAAAATATATATCTGAACCTTTGTTCCTCTGATATTAATAATAAGAAACGAGATTTTCTAAATGGAACACATTTTCATTGAATTAATTAATAATACATCTAATAATAACAGATAACTATAATAAAATTTCTCTGAAGTGGATGTGAATTTTTTAATTCTAATTAGTTGCCAATTTCGTTAAAAATTCTTTATTAAATAAGAAACTGGAGGAATGGGAATAATAAGGAACGGAATAAAATATTAATTTTTCAAATGAAATTCTGATATATTTTCTGCAATAGCAATTTGCTATTATTTATTTATTTATCTATTTGCAGTACGAGCTCTGTAGCGTAATAGGTTAATTAACGTAATAGGTTTAATATCGAAGGGTTAATATCCGAATAATCCAAGGGTTCCAATAATATTCAATTTTCACGTTGTGAGACCAGGATTCCACTTTCTTGGCAAATACCCACTGTCCACTGGGTGATATGGTTCCCTCCACAAGCTTTTATTATGATGTTAATGCAAACACCGGTTACGAGCAGCTAGAATGTCATAACTACGTGGTAGTACATGGACAAACGCATAACTGGCAGTAACACAGGCCACAATTGTTGCACACGCGAGTACATCGCTATGTAGACGTGGAATAAATGTGTCAGGCAAGAATATGCGTTAATGACATGTCGTGAGCAACTCTTTGATTTCGTAACAAGGATAATACCGTGCATTCGTCCGGTGTCTCCTTTTCTTTCATACTTGGGAGGATCGTTGGTAACGAGGTGTGTTGGATAATCGAAGATAATGATTGGTTTCTTGTCTCGCGAAGAAAGAACTGAGCAGGTGTTAACACGAGAACATGATCGCCGAGATTAACTTCGATTGAGTTTATTTCACGTCTACCTTTTTTGTATTTCTTGAGTTCAATGTTTGGTGCTGGTATAGGTGTTTCTGTATTTTTAGAAGCTTCAGTAGCTTTAAGTTCAAAATTGTTATTAATAATTTTTCAATGTTCAGCGTGGAAAATATAGTATTGGCATTGGTGATTTTTGAATTTTCACCGTGAAAAATGTGGTATAAGTATTGTGTGAGTAATTTTCGAATTTGCAATGTAGAAAATGTAGCATTGGCAAGAGCAATTTTTATATTTACAATTTTTATATACAAAATTTTGATATATTATAAGCTCCCAATATTCTTTAAGTGGAAGTTGTGTCATTGGTATTAATAATTTTTGAATTCTCAAAATAAAAAGTATACTATTGATACTAGAGCCTTCTATACTGTTATCAGTGTTATTGATATTTTCTGTATTTCCAAAATAAAGGAAATAGTGTTAATATTGTTAGTCCTAAATTATCAAATTGAAAATTCGAATTTTCAATTTCATTTCGTAGAATTAACTATTTTAGTGGATAATTTGTTCGAATTACGATAATGTCTGTCATCGAGCAGTTGAACAGATAATTCAGCTCACTGTCATCGAAATAGACGTAAGATAAGTATGAAATTGATGAAATGAGAAATGTGGGTGAAATAATTGATACACGCAGATCTGATTTATATAAAATTCTAAGAAGTGTCTCATTCTTATTTGAGATAACACCCTTCTGCTTTTTACTTATCCCATCTTACAGAGGTACGAATAGCTAAGGGTTGGTTAGGGGTAGGCTCTGATTTATTACGATAGCAATAAGAAGGGTGAGAAAACGAATAGAGGTCGACTAAGGGGTAATTTATTGCAGTTTGTATGTTGATATGAAATGAAAAGAACTGTGGGGTACCTACATTTCGAAAATGAAATATAGATATGAAATTTTGTCGCTTAAGTATCGCTGGAAATGATACATGTCAGAATATTCGTAGATGTTTGTGAAAGGTTCTGGATGAATGGCCATTTTTGGCATGAAAAATATCGACTAGTCTAAACAATATTGAAGTCAACTAAAAAATTCTTTTAATATGGATTCGTGAATTAATTTTGCAAATATAATTATCGTGCAATGTTGGAAAGTGTATGATAGAAATGTAAGAATAAATTGAAAATAGAAAATTTCTGAGTGAAATTTAATTTATTTAAGATTAAAGTTATTAATGTTATTTAAGCTAATTAATATTTAATTATCAAAATTATTTAATTTTCTTTTTCAGTCAATAAATCAACACACTATAAGATATGAAGTTCATATCATTATAAAAATACAATGCAAAAATATCGTGCAAGCAAAGAGGAAATATTTCTTACACAAAAATAAATAAAAAATGTTTAATAACATTTTTTCATCCAACGTACACTTTTAATTATGAAATTTATAGTTCCAAAAGTCTTTTATGTGAAATACTATGAGTAGGCGTTACACTGATCGACGAATCAATGGCGGTCCTATCCTCTAGGGCTCAAGGAACAATGTCAAACCAATTCCATATTACTGTCTTTACAATAATAATAAATTATTAAATCCTAAATTAATAAAATTTAAATTACTTAAATATATTCATTATACATTTTACGTTTCTTTTTACTCATCAGCTATCGTCAGTATTGGGTATATTTTGTGTAACCTAGGACAACTCGTCTTCCTTCAATATGGCCCAGGGGAGTTAAACGGTTGAGCACCCCTGCTCTAGTGTAACTGGCCCACGTTACTCTGGCCTGTTAGCACCGAGATGCCCCGGGAATCAAGGAGTGGGGATGTGGGCCAGGCATAGCAACGTGCGTCCACTTACTGGCAATACACTATCTGCTTAATTACGACACTATATTGCTATTATGTGAGTATAAATGAGAAGTAGTAATTAATCTGGCCCCCATACGTGTATGGTTTCTGTAACTATGAAATATATCTAAGCCTCGATTTCTTCAAAAATGTTTTGCGGGAATGGGCTAGAAGATTTTTAAAAATAATAATCAAGTATTTGTATTGCAAATTTGAGCAGTTGAACCTAAGTTAATTACTGAACGTAATAAATAGCATTTAATTTGTGCCTTGTCTGCTATCTGAATAAGAGTAGACAAAGAATAATGGTGATTATTTCAAAGATTAATGTGACTCCACCATTTTTGCAATTGTTAAATTAAATACGTAGCATTGGTACGATTTTAAAAACTTTTAATAATAATAATGATAATGGGAATTTATAATGATGATAATTTAATGATAATATATTTTATAATTTAATATAATATTGTATATGCATATTGAAAATTGCAACTGTTACAGTAAGTAAAAATATTCTAGTGGTACAGATAATACGAGTAAGTATATAATTCTGTAATATAATTAGCGTTAACTATGTACGAAATTTTTTAATTTATTTTTAGTTAGTTCATGCACGAGAAAGAAATTTAATCCTGTCGAAATTGCACGAAAATTTAATTTCATTGAAATAAATTGATTTTTTATTTAATACATTCAGAGAATTGTGTTTCATTGAATTTCGATTTTATTTTATTTGCAACTGATATAAAATAAGAACGGAGGCAATAATTCCACGAAAATAATTTCCGCAGCAACCGTGCATTTTATTCTGATTTCAAAGTTTCCATCGATGAAATCATTCTTTGAAATGTTCCATATATGTATGTATATATACGTGTACATACCTATCCAAGGAAACCGCAACAAGGCTGTAGACAGAGGCTGCCACGGAAACGCCCTGTATATAAGCGACGGCTTTACACATGAACCATCCCAGGAACCATGCTGAAACACAAGTCCAACGTTTATCGTTTGAAGTGGAGCGATCGAGCGAAACTCTACTTTGCGTCGAAGATGATTTCGATTCTTTTTAGAGCAGAAAGAAAAGAAACTGGAGAATAACAGACAACGCAATTTTTCCTATATGATAATTCGTATTTCGTGCAAGAAATATGAAAAAACGCAGTAATAGGCTAGCTTTTAGGTTATGTTACAAGTCTCACTCGTTTCCTATTATGCAAACGTCAGGTGTTAAAAATTTGACAGATACAACAATATTATAGAACTATATATGGTAATTCTATATGATAATTCGTATTTCGTGCAAGAAATATGAGAAGAGGCAGTGAGAGGTTAGGTTTTAGGTTATGTCACATGTCTCACTCGTTTCCTATTATGCAAACGTTAGGTGCACAAAATGTGTAGAATTGTAGAATACAATATTTGCATAAAATATAGAAATATCAAATAAAGTATTGTAGAATTATATATGTTTCTCTTTCTTCATCTTTTTGATCTAACTATTGCGAAATTGATTTTATCTAGTGGTATCAGTGACGACCATTTTGAACGTACAACATATTCCTCGTTCCATATATATATTTATCTGAAAAATATTGTTTTTCAGTAACTTATGTTTAATAACATTTTTTAAAAATCAATTTTACCACGAATTAAAATATTTGATATGCTATCGAACTGTATAGCAGATCTTTTAGGAGTCTACTGGCAGCCATTTTGGATGCATAAGAATTTCTTGATTTTATGCATATTTCTAGCAGAAAAATATTATTTTCCAGTGAATTCCAGTATAATAGTAAAAATTATATTTAATATTCTTTTCCCATTAATATTCTTGCTGAATATACTGTAAAAATGTATTGTGGATTACCCAGGAGCTTACTGGTGGCCATTTTGGATGCACATGACTGCCTTGCATACACGTTTCAAGAACGAGAGGAATGAATATAAATTTCGTCGATTTAAATACAAACCAAAGAACTCACACCAAATACTATAATTCCAAGAAAATTGCTTTTTTCTAAAAAATTATGAAGTTATGTTTTGCAACTAATACTCCCAAGTCTCGCCAAACTCGACGATTTTTCGCTGCACAAAAACGAGAGTGACGTTAAACAGACTTCTATTGCCTCATATCCCATTCTCGGCTTTTTACACGATTTCGTGAAACAGGATTTCCATAGTCGAAACGCTTATGCCAGCAGCGATATACTTGGATGTGTCGTTTCACGTTAATTGTTCAAGGAAACTGGTTTTGAAAACGTAAACGTAGAGCAGTTGAAACGCTTGCATAGTAATGAATACTATGCATCTGCGTGCTGAATAAGGCAATATCAGTAATTTCCAAGTTCCAAAGTTCCTCGGTTTATTCATATTTCGTTATTGTGTAAAAAGGAAGAAAAAGAAAAAATGAGAAAAAAGGACGAAGTGAAAGAGAGATTAGTTTGGTTTCTGTAGCTTTCTTATAAAGGTTTCCTTTTCCTTCCCAACCTCGTGAAGGAATCTAATTAAAAATTCTACTGTCACGGGCACCGTCCCACTAGACTTTAATTAACAGCTGTTTCCATAATTCCATGCTCCACGCTGATTTCCATAATAAGTTGTGTAAGTATGAAGAATAATTCCATTGCAATCTTAATTATCGGGAGTGCGTGTGAAGGAATTTTTCCTGAAGAATGTACTGTTTAATTGTATTATGTGATATTAAGTAATTGGCTTTAACTAGACAGGTATCTGGATTAGAAGATCGTGGATAAAGGTTCTTCGAGGCTCGTTTCACTCGTTGTTATGGTGATAAGTTTTGTACTAAGACAGAATAGTTTTATAGTATGAAATTTTTTCGTTTTGTCAGTGAAATATGGATTTTTGAAAACCACACTTGTTTTATTATTTCCACGTACCAGTTAACTGGTAGAGGAGTGAAAGACAGCTTTATTGTAACGATAAATTTTTAATTTTTTTAATTTAAGCAAAGAGCAAATTTCATAAATTTAATTATATTGTTTATAATATAAACTGGAATGGAAGCTTCAGGAATAAAAATGTTAGTAGATTCTACTGGCTAATTCTGTGGAGTTAAATACATAGTGATTTTTGTACTTTACGTAGTGATATTAATTTATTAATATATAAATTTAATCGTTTAACTAATTTATTGAATATTGAGAATTAACTGCATTAAGTTATATATTTATTTTAATATTTCTTCAAGTTGGACACTGTAGTGCACCCAAATAGGATAAGGAACATGCAAATAAATTACAATAAATTTTATTATTAATATTTAGATAGTCTGAATCTCGAAAATTCATAGTGACTTTTGTATTTTATGTAATGATATTAACTTACTAACATATAAATTTAATTATTTAATTAATATATTGAATACTGTAGAATTAATTGCATTAAATAAAATATTTATTTCAATATTTCTCTAAATTGGACACTGTAGTGCACCCAAATAGGATAAGGAGCATCCAAATAAATTACCATAAATTTTACTATTAATATTTAGATAGTCTGAATTTCACAAATTCATAGTGACTTTTGTATTTTGTGTAATGATATTAATTTATTAAAGTATAAATTTAATTATTCAATTAATTTATTGAATAACCATAAATTAATTATATTAAATTATATATTTATTTTAATATATCTCTAAGTTGGACACTATAGTGCACCCAAATATGATAAGGAACATTCAAATAAATTACCATAAATTTTATTATTAATATCTAAACAGTGTGCATGTCGTCTAGATTATTTTCTGGGATGCTCATTATTCATTCATAACCAAATTCTTTTATTTATCAATTAATATCATTTTATGCATCCTGACTACCTTTCTATGCACCTTTAGTGCCTCCTTAAATTAGAAATAAAACGACATCTAAATACACATGAGATAATCGAATTTTCGTTTAAGTGTCAGCTGTCAATCCCATTAGAACGTTTAGAATGTGCACAAAAAGTTTCTTCGTGGCACGATGGCTAAATGGACACGAGGTATTCGAAGCTTTTCAGGAATGTTACAAAATACCCTCCGGATTGAAGTCTCAGCTGGACTGCCATTAGAATGTCTGGAATGTCAATAAAGAGGCTGCTTTGCAGATGAGGAATTAGGTGTGACATCGTTTGTCGTAAGTTTCCGTGCAGTGAGCAACGTGTTATAAAACAGTGCATGGCTATTCACAAAGTGACAGAGTCACGCTCGTTCTGCGACCTTCATTCGTCATGACGCTTTAGTCACGAGGCATAAATTGTCCAACGCGTTACTACTATTCATAGATAGGAATATGAATAGTGGAAAGACACAGGGGTCAAAGTGTGACTGCTCGAGGGAAACGTCCTTTCGAAGAAATATGATGCGTTACAGGATGGATCTACAGTCTTTGACACTGATACAGGGTACACGAGTATAGAATGCATTACTGTACTCTATGGTACAGTACAGTACACGAATTTTTATTATTAGTCGAATCTATGGATCGCATGACGTCACGTAACATCATTTTTGTTCTCACCACACCTTTAGACTTGAATTAATTGCCACTCTTGTGTCTTGGATTCTTTCACCTTCATTTTCTTGTTACGAAACGGTTTATATATTAATTACAATAATAATATAAGAGGAACAGAAATGAGAGTATTATAGAATATACGTTAATTCAGAGTGTTAACTGTTAACACAAAGTAAAAATTATGGCAATATAACCTATGTATTTCCATAGGCCTAATAATGAAGATTCCATAGACTTCACAGATGGAGTAGCTACAAAGGTAGCACACCCATCTCTCAACAATAAATACACGTATAGCAAATATTTCACTTGATAAATGGATAATCTATATTCTTTAACTTAATCCACTCAAATGACAATGCTCAGTTCTAAGCAATATTCCCTTCATAAAATTCTGACACCCTATATCTATAATACAAATCATGCAGCATCATCTGATAAAAATAGGAAGAAGAAAAGTAATAAAATAGCTAGAATATCGTAGGATATATTTAAATGCACAGTGTTAATCATTAACGTGAAACAGAACCTGTGCCAAAGTAGTTTTTGTACCACCAGAAGCCTAAGATTCCATGAGTATCAAAGATGGAGTAGACAGAGTGGTCCTCTTAGTCCACCCAACTCTCTCCAATGTAAATATTTTACTAGACCATACACTCCGACCTAATGCGCTCACAGGAAAATCTGTCAAAACAATATCCTCTCCACAAAAATTCAACGTACCACGTTTCCACCCCTATTCCTAACTATTGCTTCTCTGTTAACTGCAGAGTCTCGCTAGACCGAACTCGTGGCGCCATCTACGACGTTTCCCTACGGCGGAACATGAATTACAGGATACAACGAGGTTTCTGGTTCCTTCGATTGGACATCGGGTATCGTATGACGTTGGTTTCACACTTTTTCCCAGGTGGACAACTGGTCGAGAGGCGTGAAATAAGCTGGAGATATGCGAGAGCTGTTCTCGGGGACGCTGTCGAACGAATGGGAATTATTATTCCACAGAAGTGGATTTTTGACGCAGGTGGCGTGCACGTTTATCAGCTAGTCGGTGGGCTACTTGCTCGATCGGAATAAATAATTATCCAGCGTGAGTTACGGCCTACGGGAAGTTCCTTTCTACGCGGCCTCGCGGTGCTACCCTTCACTTCGCGCACAATACTTTCGGTTACTGGCCTGCCACTAAAAGGCCACACACAATCGGCGTCGACGCAGGATGAAAGGACTTGCTACTCGAATCGTTTCGACACACAAAGGAAAAAGGAACTCGCCTTTTTGCGCGACAGCAGATTTTCCCGCAGCCTGCGAGTGACGTCTTGCTAGTTGCCTGGTCTGGTGCCAGCTGGCTTAGGGTTGACGCACGTATCCTGCATTTTCACGCGAATTTTTATTTAAATGCGATTTTAGTTTCTTAAATTGATTTTATGCGTGTAATCAAAGTGAAAGAAGTATTCTGGATTT